AAAAAAAAAAAAAAAAAAAAAAAAAAAAAAAAAAGCTAATGTGAATATTTCCATGAACTTTTTGAAGTACCCCTCGTACACATATAGCATATACATATACAACAAGTACATGGTTGAAGCCCCCATGTCCCTTCCCCTTTCTTTTCCGTTTTTCCTTCCCAGAAATAACCACAATGTTCATGTCAGTTCTTTTCAAGAAGTGTCTTTAGCCTGTTCACTTTAATAAGCCTCTTCACTTTATTTTAATAACTTTTATCATATCTTCCAACTTGTTTACATGAAATATATGTTTCTTTTACACAAATTAGAAAAATACATTAAGCACAAAGGGAAAAAATATCCCATAAACCTGCCTTCTACCATTTTTTAGTGCATTCTTTTTAGCTATAGGACCTTAGGCAAGATTCTTAACCATGGATCCTTGGTTTCCTCAGTTTTTCATGTTTAAAATGGGGATAATAATACATTATGGCAAGGATTAAATGAAAATTTAATATATTTAATACATTGCCCAGCACATAGTAAACACATAGATGATGGTGATTATATAGACTTTCAAATGATTTCATCATTCTTTTTTGAATATAGGTCTTATATCCTATGTGACTTGTAAATCATCTTAGGGGTTGACTTGGAAACACATAGTCATTGTTGGGGATTTTCTTACTAACAGGAGGCTTATAGTTAGGGTAGAACATATATTTGCATGTACAGAACACAGCATGGGGCTGCCATGAACTGACTGTGCTGATTACTCTCTCCAGGTGAAGAACATCATTTACCATGCAGTGAAAGATGCTGTTGGCACCCTCAAGGCTCATGAATCCAAACTGGCAAGGTCTTAGGCATGGAGAAATTCTAAACTCCCCTGTGAAGCAGGTCTTTCACTCACAACACTTACAGGGAATGGCAGGGTTCTCTGCTGGAGCAGAAGCCCTTCACCTGGAGCCAGTGTGGTCAGTATTACAAACTCTCCAGCCACTCTTTTCTACGCTGCCTCAACACTGAAGGTTGACACAGGAAAGTTGCACTGTTCACACACAGTTTCAGACTCCAAGCCGAAGGTGCCACTTCCCCATCCTGTGGCCTTTTGGGAATCCAAATTGCCTGAACATCACTGGGCTTTCCAGCACATTCTCCTGATTTGAGATTCATGGAAACCAAGAATGTGGGCACACCTTTCTTTTCCTCTTGTGCCTATTTAAGTGGGAATGTGTTTGGAGGTAGGGGGAATTGCATAACTGGTATAAGTAGGGGGTAATTGCTTAAATATGCCTGATGGAAGCCTGACTGTGTCTCTGCACGTGACCTCTGACACGGCTCATCCTCAGAGACGGGGTGAAGCCATTCCCCACACTCTCTCCCTTAAACACTGGAGTCTTGCAGGACCCAGGGAGAACCCACTGCTTTTCCCAGGAGGCTCCAGGATTAGGAAACGTGTGTATTTAGTGAAAAATAGGTTTGTAGTGAAATAGTTACTATTTCATGAAAGTAGATATTTTTAGAATTTTTGAAATACCACAATTGTTTTCCTGGATTATGAGGAACGGCACATTACATTTAGTCTTCCTTTCAAGAAAACTCTTTGAAGAAATATGATTTTTAGAAATCTGCTGCCCGTTATAGCACAAAATCAGCCAAAGCAGAATTTAAAAGAATTGGCTTTTTAGGGTTCTTTTAGTTTCTCTCCCTCCCATTCCAGTCTTATCTTGAGGGAACAGTCATCTGAGAAAGAACTTTGTCATGTCTGAGCTGTGGTGTATTTCTCTCTCTCTCTCTCTCTCTCTCTCTCTCCCACACACACACACACACACACACACACACACACACGACTCCAGGAATCATTTTCACCTATTACCAGCGTTCCCTTGGGACTCCTCTTATGTTTCAAAATGAGAGGGAAAGTTCGATTTCCAACTTGAGGTTTTTTGTCCAGAAATATTTTCAGCAAAACTTTACAACTCAGTGGAGTTTTATTAAGAATTTATTTGAAAGTGATGGAATTCATTGGCCCATAGGTACATTGGGAAATGTATCTCTTTCCAGCTGTACTGTAGTGCCCTGCAGACTTGTTTATATGTTCACAGTTACTTTTTTTTTTTTTTAAATAAAAGTCATTTACTGTAGAATACTTTTAATTTCACTTTCTGTATTTTAATTTTGTTGAAGGGCTGATTGGGATTTCCATGTTCTTATTAAAAATCTAACAAATCTGTTTAGAGTGGACAAAATTCTTCCTGTGCCAACCCTTCTAAAATCAAGGCCAGATTGAAGACTGGGTTGGGGGTGGGAGATTCATTTCCAGGTCTTCATTACCGTGCTACACCCAATTATTACTCTTTGCTTCCTGAACTTGTACCCAGTTGGGAGAAAGGAAAGTGCCAGGGTGAGGTCAGTGTGGCTTGGGAGATTGGGGGTGAGGGTTAGGAGCCACATGAGTTAGAGGGTGGGAGGAGAGAGGGGTTTTCCCATAGTTGATGCTCTGTGCCTGGAGTGAGAAAGGTGGGGTTCTACCTTCCTAGGGTGGGGTCTGGGGCAAAAAGGCCATGGTGTGTGGCCTGAGCAAGGCTTTGGGTAGTCGAGGGTGGGATTCCTTAAAGCAGGAAGCCTAGCTACCCACATAGAAAACGTGCCCTAAATCCGTCTCAGAAGTGGTGGGAGAAAGCCCAAATGGGATTTATTTTTGTTTTATTAAGCAGCAATTAAAAAGTGTCTTGAGGGGTGAGGAAAGACTTCATTCCAATTAAAAGAGGCTTTTTAGAAACGAAGTTGTAAAGAATAGCAAGAGGGGTCATCAGAGGCTGCTTCTCTGGAACCTGTTGGAAAACATCTTCCAAAACATTTGAGCCTGGAAATATCATTATCAGGTTGGAAATAGACCATTGTGTGGTTCCAGGATACTGAGTCTGAATAAGACCATACGTTTTTGAAATACAGAGCTCTGAGCATGTCCTTTCAGTCTGGATGGGCAAGAGTTGTTGCTGTGGTCCCCAGAAGGATTACACCTCCACATAAATGGTACAGGAATGCAGAAGCTTTAAAATGGGCCAGAAAAGGAGAGCAATGGGGAAGGGAGGGGGCATTGGGGCTTGGTCGCTTTGGTGGAAATCAGGAGGTGGAACAGCCTACATTCTGGATATAAATGTCTTTACAATTAGGACATCCACTGCCACCAGTGCTTGCTTGATGGGGGTGGACTGGAGCTCCTGGGCATATCTCGGACCTGGGTCCCAGGTACTTCTCCCAGCCTCTCCGTTTGAAAAGAAGGTCTGATCCCCATGGTGGGAAGTTGGGGCAGTGGGGGTGGGAGAAATCCACCTTAAGAGCACCAAGCTCTTCCCCTGTAAAGCTTAGGAACTGACAGCCTAAAGCAAATCATGTCAGGGTAGGGTAGGTCCTCTTTCAACTGGGGTGATGGGCAATTGTCAAGAAAGGATGGGGTGGACTATACCTTTGCCTTCAGGAGCTCAGGTGGATGTCTTTAAAAGACCCATGATGTGTGGGGAGAGTTTGCTAGTCTCTAGCAAGTTAGCTGTGGGATGTAGCCTGTTGAGACTTCCTGGGTTCGTTATCTTAGCAGCATGACTTAGTCGTTTTGTGACCCTCAGCAAATTATTGAACCTCCCTAAGCTTCACATTTCCTTATTTTCAAAATGGGGATAATTAAAACCTCTGCCTTATAGGGTGGTTGTGAGGATTCACTGAAATAGTGTATGTGAAGTTAAGCACAGGGCTTGGCACACAATAAGCACTCAATAAATCACAGCCATTATTCCTCCTGGGACATTTAAGCCTTTCAGCCTGATGTGGGCAGAGAGAGGAGGTGGGCTGGGGCTGATGTCAGGATGGAACCCTGACAGGCCTCCAGGACCAAGAAAGGTGAACAAGCGATTAAAGGAAGGCAGGGCACTGAGGGTCGAAGGCGCATGCCCGGCCACAGCAGGTGCCAGGGGTGCGCCGCCGCCGCCGCGGCCTCCCCTTTAAGAGCCGCCGCCGCCCACGGCC